GGTAGACTGCGATAATGACGGCAAGGAATTGTGTCAGCGGTTTAACATCCAAGGATACCCCACCCTTAAGTTGTTCAGATATGGAAAATACATCGGTGACTATGTTGGACAACGAGACCGCGGTGAGCAAATAATAAGTCATTTAGAAAAGACTAATTTTCTACACTACGAAACATATGAAAACAAAAAGTCTGGTAATTATTGATGAGACTCTATAAAAAGAAAAAAACACATGAAAATCCTTTTCCAAACATTATAATTCCGGCCCAAAGAATGTTACAGGGAGAGACCCCGACCCTGATATAACTACAATGGGATGAGGACGGGGACGTCATTAGGGACTTCAAAAGGTCAAAAATTTCATTTTGTTTTATCGGAGTCTTTGTTGCATGTAAATGTAATGTAATGTAAATGGGGATGAGGACAAACATACATGGGACGTCATCAGCATACTAAGGGCGCCGATTCCCGTATCAGTCCATTTTAACCCTCCCATAACTAGGTCAAAAACCACAACACCGGGAACTTTCATTTTAGTTTTATCGTCCCACAGAGTTATATGTCAAGGTTTCCGGTTTATCATGGAGGTTCGTAATTATCAAGGTTCCACTGTGCGTGAGAACGAAAGAACCCTCACCATGCTTACTCGGAGAGGATAGCTAATCAGAAAGGGAATATCCTTATTCTACTCAAATATGGCCATTTTTACTCAGGTGCACTAATGCAATACGTGGACTCAGTGACATCAATCCCATCTCAAAATGCACCGCTGACCAGCGGAGTAGCCAGGCCTGCATCATTAGCTCAAGCCATGTTTCCCCTCCACCACCCCTCTCCAAATCAGGCTGCAGCCCCAGACATTGCACCAAATTACATAAATGAAGCAAGTATGCATGCGAAGAACCCATCGCTAATGGCCTCCTTCTACGGTTCTGCACAAACACAACACCCTGCAAACGCAGCAGCGTATCTTGGAGGTACTTCTTCTGCTCTTCAGGGGAGCAGCCCAGACACTTTGCAATCCAAATTTGGTAACTTGGCCTCGTTAGATGTTTACAGATCCAAGCTTAAAATGATCGCAGCTTACAAGAACTACCAGAGAAGACTCAAAGAATACAGACTTAAACTAACAGCTTTTAGTAGAGGGGAGGTAAATCCAAGCCCACATAGCTTTCCAGGAGCCGTTACCAAGCCCCCTCGTCCTGGTGTAAATTCGTTCGCTCAACCCCAGACCTATCGTGGCTATTACCGACCCGAGGCTTTGGCGGCACAAAACGTGCAAATTAACCGCGCGTATCCTCAAGCTGCGTACGGAAATTATCCAAGCCAGTTTGCAAGTCCATACGGCTATCAAGCACAAGCCAGTCCTTACTATAGAAGTAAAATGGCCGCCTCCAGGAGACACCAGAATAGAAAACACAAAAAACCGGTAAATAAACCAGCACTGGCAGTTCACTATGATGATAAAACTCTGCAGCAGCAACGGCAATTCCATCAAAACCCATCCACAGAACAACAGCAGCAAGCCCTCAAACCAGCACTAGCAGTTCACTATGATGAAAAAACTCCACAGCAGCAACAGCAATTCCATCAAAACCCATCCACAGAACAACAGCAGCAAGCTCCCAAACCAGCACTAGCAGTTCACGATGATGAAAAAACTCCACAGCAGCAACAGCAATTCCGTCAAAACCCATCCACAGAACAACAGCAGCAAGCTCTCAATAAACCACAGGTATCTTAAAATGAATGCCATGCATAAAAAACGGTTGATTCATTTGACTAGGTCAAGAGAGATCATTCTCTCTTGACTAGGTATATGGCTTTAGCAGGTTGAAAGTGTCATTGCCACCATCGATCGTCAGTAGCACCATGGCCATTGGTTGAAAGGTTGAAGGTTTGTTAATAGTGGAAAGTACCCTTAGCTTTACCTTCTCCCGCTAGTTTACAGGCACTCTACTCAAATAATTCTGAAACAAATAATTCAAATACAGCATAACAAAATTGAAAATCCCAACTGACAGGAAGTAACCAGTTGGCTATTCAGAAACGTTGCCAAGGATTTGAACTCGAGACAACCGAGACCAAATCCAGGAATTTGACAGAGCAGGACTCGAACCTGGTACCGCCGGATTGCGGAGTTCGAGGTGCTGACTCCTCGGCCACGCTGCCTCCTGTCGGTATCGTTAAAAGTTAGAATAGTTGCTGTTGTTGTTTGGTATTCTGGCTTTTTTTACTTTGGTAGGCAAAATATATAGTGCACTTGCTGACCAGATATCTCTATCTAGCTAGAAACCCGATTAGAACCTATTTGGAGAAGCCCATTAGAACCTAATTAATTTCGTTTGCGTCAATTCACAGGATCCCCAGCCAGTGGCCAAGGCGGCGCACCAGCCTGTGGTCAAACCAGCTCCTCCTATTCCAGAAGAGTTAAGCAATTCTCTAAAAATAACGGACACTTCTGCTCTTAAAGATCTTAAGGCAGACATTGAAAGCGCTATCCAAGATGCGTTGAAAAATGCTGTAACCAGGGTAAGCAACACAGCTAAGTCCAGTCCTCCTCTAGCACATGTTGATGGTGCCAGGGCCAAGCCCCAGGCTACCACAGCTCATTTGGATCAAATGGCATCTGGATCTGGGGTTGCCGAGTCGCAAGCCTCGCCGGCTCGTGGCCCGGTCGGCATTGATGGCGATGGAAGTGGATCCGGATTATAAACAAATTCGAAATAAAGTAAAAAAAAACTAGAGATGTTTGCCAAGAAGAAAAGGGATTTGGTACAAATCTGAAACCTCAAACTTTTTTTATCTTTAAGATCATTATTAGAAGCCTCTAAATTCACTTGTTTAAAACAAGTTCAAACTAAACGTTTATGGGATAGGAACGTGGTAAAAGGATCAGTATATAACGCCCAGTAAATGCATCTCAAAATGCATCTCAGTAGGATTGTTGACAGACTATAGACTAAATGTCTATGCACTTTTGTTGATACAACCTGGGCATTTTAAACGCAAACTATATATGTCCATAGAGAGTCTGTAAGTAAAAAGACAGTAAAATATATTTTCAAGAGACTTTGAGTTTTCATTATGAGCCGGTAAAATATATTTCCTTATTGTAACAAAGCTGGCAAAATGCAGTTCCTAAATATTTACGATGCAATGAAAGCCACAAGCTCCTATCATTACCGGAAGATCATAATTTGCTAATGCCAGAGAGAGTGAGTTCGATGTCCGCATTTCAGACAATGACGCAATGTTAAAACGTGTTTCCTTATGCAGGGATCAATTTTTGGACGGAGAAGGATGTACGGGCATAGGTGCGCCATTTGAGTTCTTTTGCAAGTTTTTGGTCAAATTCCCGACCCTTGGGACGGGAAAATAGTTCATATTTGATAACATAGCCCTTTCTGGCGATAACAAAACCCGCGAAGTTTGGGGCAAAATTTGTGGTCAAAGAAGTGTTCAAATACCACACCTATGCCTGTACCCCTCCCCTCCGTCTAAACATTGATACCTGCATTACAAAACAGCTTTAAAGAAGACTGTTTGATAAACAGATGCTTTTGTTCATCAAAAAGTAAAGACTGAGAATTTAATCAAGCACAGATTGAATAATCTTATTGTCATAAAAGTTACGGACTGGTTTCGGTTGTTTTGCTTATATGAAATATAAACTTGCTTTGTTATGATTTGATTGGGTCTTATCGACAGGTGTCACTGTTGTTAAGACTGGCTGTGAAATACTCTGTAAAACTCATTTTACTCGACGTTCAAACACGAAAAAAATAATTACCATGCTGGGCATGAATTTCAGAGGGAAGTTTACAATATAGTGGTGGCAAGTTCATTTTTTCAGAGGTCCCTTTTCAGTAGTCCCCTTGAAATTACGGTAAGGCCGCTTTAAGTAAAGTCAAACGAAATGTCGCTTCAATCATAAGTTACTTAGTCGAACCTCCATGTTGGACCACGTCTTGTAAACGACCACCTCCAACAAGCGACCACGGATCCAAACCACCAAAAACATTTCCAGTCAAAGTCTTATAGTTAGAATGTCTCGTAAAAGTCCTCAAACTGAAAAGAAAAGGAACAACATCTGGAGGACCGACTGTTAGTTATCGCAGTCACTGTCTCCACTGTGTTCCGCTAAACATGGTCGTGCCTTTTTGGGTGGCAAAACCGAACCGTTGAGGAACCGAAGAAGGTCATTCTGGATTGTTAGACGTTTCTGGGAAACTTCCCACCTAGAGAGGTAAGTGTTAATGTTGTCTTAGGGGAGAGGTAGGTGGGCAGTTTCCCAGAAACGTATAATCAAAAACGAGAAGACCCTGGGACAAGATTGCCGGGAACCTCTGAACATTTTGCCGACACTGAGCACCCTACCCGGATTTTTCAGTTGCTAAGCAACTGTGGTTTGTCTGCGTTTTTTTCTTGAGCTCTCTACCTGTTGCTTACCATGAATACATATTTCCACCATTAAAACTGATCATTCTTCGATTTTTTTTGTAGCTTTACGAGGTAACCCTTCGTCAGATTTCAACCTTTTTTGCTTAACAGTTTTATAAAAGCCAGCTCTCAAAACACTAATAAACGTGACTGGCATTATAATAGTTATCTCTTTTAAATAGCAGGTTGAATATTCACTGCTCCTACGAAAAGTAAATTACATACCTGCAAAATCACATAGGTCAGTTTCAGAAAGAAAAATAACAATTCACGAATAAAATTTCAACCTCAGTCGCTATCATGTAGTTTTAACTACACCTTTGCGACATTTCTTCATTTCAACAGAATACATTCCCTCACAAAAACTCTGTAAATTAAAAGGCTTGAATTTGTAAGTTATTCAACTCTCAACAGGTGCAGGAAAATAAATCTTGTTTTTAAAAATCATGTGATGCAATAAGTGAACCACTGAAGGGGTCAGATGTCAACCAATAAGGAGCCGTTCAAATGACATATGAAGCGTAAAATGTTGAGGGTACTTCAAATAAACATTTCAGGTTTTCTCGCATAGAATCATAATCAGAAAAATCGCACGATGGTTCCACTTTTATTTGTAATTGCCCTTTCCCTTGCGGGCCCATGCTTTTGCGCTCCCTTGAAAAGCAAGAGTCCTGTGTTTAAATTGACCAATTCGGATTTTGATCATTTCCTCAAGGACAAAGATGTGATGTTGGTGGATTTTTACGCTCCTTGGTGAGTTAATTACGTTCCATGTCAACTTGTTCCCTGTGTGGTCCATTTGATTTGACAGAAAAATATAAAACAAAATATTAGATCACAGTACAGAGTAGTACTATTCTAGTTCACGGATACAGAACTTATACGCCCAGGCTGTTGTTACTATGTCAGTGCCTTGGATAGGTTTAGAGTGAAAGTTATAATAACAGTCCAAAGATATTACTGAAGCCATGTACAGGTCGTTGATCTTACAGGTAAGTCAGTAAAGACAAAATCAAGGAAGTCTTTTTTCCTTCCCATATTATCTGTTTTTCCTTGGTTATAAGCTGGTACGAAAAAGGAACAAAGACTTCATAACCATTGTAGCAGTCACTGTAGTGACTGGGCACTGTATATTAAAGTGCATTTTATTGCATTCCCAATTTCTGGTCACCGTCTTGCCCTCGCTACATGGTAATGGCATTGAGCCGTGTATGGTCTGATCAACCCTGTAAGACTTTGTTGTTTCCATTGTTATCGACACAAACTACACGGCTGAAAATTTCATGCATGAACCGCATCGACTATATGAGACTTACTAAGAGAAGAATCTCCTTAACCTGCTACTTCCCCCTCCCCCTCCCCCAACATGGAAAATGTTTCTTGAAACACGGGAAGAGAGGAACTCATTACAAAGTGAAGAGCCAAATCTGGTAAAAAGACTAAAAAGCTTGGAGTACAAATTGTACGCTTCGCCTAAAATGGCAGCCCAGATTTTCTGAGGCATTTCAAACAAAATGGCTCAGTGAACGAATCCATTTTGCGGTCTCTCCATGCAAACAGGTACCTCAGTATTTATGGTTAAAGAATGAAGAACGTTAAGGGAACCTCACTTCGGTCAGAATTCCAATTTTATATGGAAAGGATACATGTATTAGACTTTCGTGCGCAAAGACCTATAGACGCCCATGGTTTGCTCAGAAATTCCACGCGACGCCATATTGAACGAATGATGTCATTCGTTTGCTCCCATGTAAATAGTCGGCAACAACCAAACGCCGATATCGTGATTCAAAACGGTGGTAAAAAGAATCGATAAGTAGCCGACATTCAGATGAATTTTTTGACGCTTTCTAATTTTCTTACCATGTTCTTAAAAATAACGGAATTTGATTAACAGCGAGGGTTCCCGTTGCCAATTAAGAATAATAATTAGTAAAAGAAAGTCAGTTAGCAATGAACACCAAATGAACTCCTTTTACTTCTCTCTTTTTAGGTGTAGCGACTGTGCTAAACTAAAACCTAATTTTGACGCTGCTGCAGAAGACTTTGCACGTAAAGGAAAATACGTCTTTGCAAAGGTTGGTGTTAGAAGTATAATTTATAATTCCCAAGTTCAGAAAAGAAACTAAACACATTCGCTTTTCTTTGTTAAACATACGGGCCTGCAACCAATCAGCATCAAAATATAAAACAGCTATAGATAGGAATAGAGGATTTTTTTAGCTCTGCTTGGCAAGAGTTGCATGTTTTGTAGCCCGTCCTCTCTAGACTAGAGTGCATTCTGCCCGCAAACTCGCTCACTTGAACTGTCTGAGTTGGTTGTAGACTCGTCATTTTCATCCAACACTTCGTATTAAGAGCAGTTTAAAAGTTTAACTTCTTTGTCCTACGAGACGATTCTCCAGAGCTTGCTATACTCTGACTTAGCTAGCCTGCCATCATATGGTTGAAAATAAACAACGTAGAAAGTGAATTAACACCAGTAAAATGTTTCAAAGACATGGTGGGTAAAGACAAGTTTGATTGTGTCTTCGACCTGCGGATTGGGTGGGACAGATGTAATGATATGATTAACCATGAATGCCATTTCTGACTTTAACAGATTGACTGCTTTGGTGAGGGAAGGAGCATCTGCGAAAACAGGTTTAATGTGCACAGTTGGCCGCAACTAAAAGTGTTCCGAAGAGGACAATATGCTGGTGAATACAGCGGTTACCAGGATAGAGGTAACATAGCCTACACTAAACCACCAAGGCCCCACGATAATTTGAGTGGCGGATCCAGGGAAGGGACCAGGACCTTATTTTTAGACCAAACTGGGGCCCAAAGACCGGAACCGGGACCGGGACCGGAACCGGGATCCCCCTTATCACAGGGTCCGAATGACCGCTGCCCCTTCCCCTTATCTGCAGGTCTGGTTTTGGCCGTTTTCACACTGTATGGACAGGTCATCTAACGTGAAAAGAATACGGGAAGAACAATGTTTTGCTGGTTGTTTAGGTCGTCTGATTTTGTCCATCAATATATCCATCTACAAATATGATTTTCATAGTTCGATTTCTCCATCTAGACAAGTCGTCCCGTTTCTGACTTGCACACTAAACGAACAAGTGGTGGAACATTTGCCCGACCGGCCGATTTGCCCGGTCAACTAGAGTGAAAACGGCAACGGCCCTTATACCTGATTACGTCAGACGAGCTAATTTTACCACGAAGTCTCGTTTGTAAACAAAATTCATCGCATTTGCAATCTTTGTGGGGTAGATATTGGGGAGTTTAAGCAACGACGGGGGCGAATTGACGAATTGAACGAGATCAGTGGAATAAGCCCGATAAAGTTTGAAGCAGCACAAATTCTTTTTTCAAGTGACGTGTTCGTAGCCGCCGCCATCGTCATTTCTTACGATCCCTATTCTTTTTAACTCCACTGCCTTGGGAATTTATTTATGCAAAACTCCGCAACTCTACAATTTCAAAACGAAGCTTGGTGATGAAATTTGCTCGTCTAACGTAAACATGTGTGAGGGTCCTCCTTCCTAGGATATTTCTATTGTCAATACTGTAGTAAAGGGCAGCCAGGGTGTTTATTAGAGAGGTCAGCTGGCTGGACCACATTTATTTTTCTTGGTAGTCTAGTAGTTGATAGGAGAGCATTGACGAAAGCCTGAGGATCATCGTCGTCCCCAGGGTCTTCTCGTTCTCCAACAAGGCGGCAGAAGGCGCTGTCACAGTGATATGGGCATCCCCTGTAATATTACTAGCGTTTTGGCAATTGGGATGCCCATATCACTGTAACAGCGCCATCTTAGAAAAGGAGAAGACCCTGGCAACGATGTTAAACTGGGATCAAAGTTTTCTAAAAACCATGCACTATCATGATAAAACCATTGGCTCTGCGCAAGTAAAGAGCATTAACGCAATTCAAACAAAAACGTGTTCTTCTTCCAGATTCTCTCGAAAGATTCATGGATAGTATTTTAAAACAAAAAGTTCCAGATAATATCGGACAAGATCAAGCTGCCGCAGAAGAGCAGCCAGGCTACACGCAGAATGTTAACGGTCCTTGGTTCCAAAACGGATGGCAATTTAACAGAGTCGGCATGATGCCATACGGCCAGACCCCACCAGGCTGGAAAAGAGGATAAAATCGAGCAAGGCCGATATCTTTATTTGCAGCTCTATTAAATTCAAGACAGAAGCGTATGCACAGTTGACTTCTTTTCACACCATTAGCCTTCAAGCAAGCAATTTATTTGGGAATGGCGAGCGACCGCGCGCCTACGTGACGCGCAAGCCAGACGCGTCGCTTCTAGTGGTGCAGTTCGCACCTAACTATCCTATCGCGTCTTAGCTTGCTTGTAGGCTAACATAAACATGTCAATGTCAAGTCAGCGACATTTTGCAGTCATCTAATGTGCTTTAATGGTATTTTATATTCAATTTAATAATGCAGAAATTCCTTCAATGAAAACAAAATTTGGAATATTATATGTACATCATTCTATTTTAAATCCTCGCGCAGAATTGCTCTTAAGTTTATTTAATAAAAACATGAACCAAATCTGCTTGTAAAGGAGGAGACTGGAAGGAAAGGGCTACATCACATAACCTCCCCGTTCGAAACATTTCTCCCTTCAAAACCCACCTTATCAAATTGATTAATCACTGTGGGTCGTGTGTGGTTTACACATCGAAGGGTGGAGCTATGCTGTTTGTGGAAACAAGTCAACGTGAAAAGCAATAATAAATTCTTTGCTCTAAATTTTGCAGATTTCTGTCCTACCTTGACCCAGGGAGGCACTGCACTAAATGGTACGTTTTGGCAAGAATGATTCGAAACTGAGATTATAATTTTGCGTGACTGGTTTCGATGGGGAATCGCGAAACATCGAGTTTGGATTCGAGTTCGAGTTCGACTGGTTAGAATTCGAGTTGAACTATTTTAAAAACTATTTATGAAATATGATAAAAAACAAAAATATTATCCTTAATAATAAAAAGACATAAGAAAAAAATGACAACGGCAAAAAAAAAGAATTACAGTTGCGGCGATACTGAAGCCAGCACTGTAGGCCTCGAAAGGGGAGGAGTGGGGGAGGGGGGGCGGCGCGGGGAGGAACAGGAGATAGAGGAAAGAAGGAAAAGGACGCCTGCTACAGTATGTGAAAACAAGCGTCGGTAGCCTCTTTTCGATGCTTCGTTGACTTTCAATATTTCACTTGTTTTATATCAATCAATATAAAACAAGTGAAATATTGAAAGTTACACGCCGACGCCGATTTTGATGACACTGCGGGGGTGCATGTGACATCGTCAGTATTTTGTTTTTCTTTCCCCAGCAACGCAGCACAAGAGTTTCTTTAGAAAATAACTTCTTTATTCAATTCTATTTTCTTTTACTTCTTTCATTTTACCACCTAAGAAGTGACGAACTCTGTTAACAACGGGAATCGCAAAGTGTACAAAAAAAATGAGTGTTTTGATCCTGTAAAATGCTCCTTCAAGACTAACGGAAAATACATTATATGGCAAACGTAAGAAACTATTTTGGAGTGATTTTCGTCTTACCACCAAGGACGAAATTAATGAATCCGCCACATTTCTGATTAGAATGCTCTCCAAACTCAATGATCAATACAATTCTTTGAAAGAACTGTTTTTCCTAAAAAACAGAAAAGCAGAAATTTATAGCTTTCAACTAAGACACAGTGGCCACCTCTGACAGCTTACCATCGTTAAGGGAAGTTTCTACTCTTTCGAATCGCCCCTTGCTGCAAGAGGCGATGAGAGCCAATTGTATCGATTCGCTTATCGGCTATTCCAGCGTAGCAGCTCTTTACAAGAAGAAAATTCTCTGACTATTCCAACCCTTACTTTTCCCTCACCTCTAAGCGATATTTTTTACCGAACTTGTACATCACATTATTGTTAGTCCTTAGTTGTATGTCGTTCAGTTCGCACACGATAAGATGACGAGCACGGGAAAAATGTAATAAGGGTTGTTTCGGGTTTGATCAACTTTATGGGATCGACTGAAAGGAGCAATACACGAGAGTTCCGGAATTGTTTTTGTATTTTCTAAGATCCTCTTATTGCAGTGAATGCTCATGCAAACTTACTTGATGACCATATATTTCCCGGCACTACATAAGTGGAATCAATTTGACCATCACCACCCCACTCGGGTTGACAATGGCTTCGAACATGGTGTCATATATTCCAAGATCCTTGTGTTCAAACAGGTCACGTGCCACAGCTTGCTTCGCGGTCAGTCCAATCTGACAAACAAGTACACGTTACTACGCAGCACTGCAAGGAGCAGAAATTCTTTTGCGACCGAAGTAGGAGTGGGGGGGGGGGGAGGAAATCCACCCAATTAACTGCCCAATCTCATTCCTACACGGCACTTGCGCAAGAGAGACCAACGTAACTACATACGCCTGTTGAGTATTCAAACATGTACTTGGCTAGATAAGGCAAGCATACTATTTTGGCTCTCTAGTTAAACTCTTTTGTAAGCAAAAACATTCCGTCAACCAGGTTGCTAAAGATACATGGTCGTTAATTTTATTCCCCTTTGTATTTTTAGGAATGAAAATGCGTGATAATGATTTTGAAACAAAGACAAGTAAACTTTGAGCCAAGGATAAGACTAAATCGCAACAGATACATTACTTGATTTGAATATCTTCGTTAACCTTTCCTCTCCTTGACCAAGTTATGGTGAGTTGATTGGAAGGGGGGGGGGCTGTACACAGGCTCACTTTTGCCTCTGTGGATGAAATTCTCTGGTGTTACCATTCAAATGAAACCTCTTCAGCAGTACTGTCACATGGTACTATTTATTTAGTATGTAGTTCTACCTTTGAAGTCTTTAGATGGAAATCCTTTGGTGTTACCATTGACAAGAAACCTCTTAAGCAGAACTGTCACGCAGCACTATTCAAAGTTTAGGATTTACATGTACAAGAGAAAATTTAGATTTTTTGGTCAAAAACGAGGACCACTTACCAATTTAAACGTTGCTTTAATAGTAACTGGAGTAGAATCAGAGTGCGAGAATAACACCACAGCCACGGAACCATCAGCCAACGGTCGAGCCCAGATCTCGGAGCTACCAGTCTTAATGTGGCAAAAAAAATTAAATCATCGATATCATTTTTACGATTGATTAAGTATCTCAAACATTTTGCAACTGCGTTGGAACAAAGGAGGACATTTCCTTTGCACCTTAATTGGTGTTCACTGGTTAGGTGCTTGTTCTCACGAGGTTCTATCTTAAACATATGTCTCAACAATAAAACGAGCATGATTTTTCACAAGATGAGTCCCAGGACTCACCATAACTATTTGTAACAAAATAACTGGCCCAAGACACATCTAACCACTCATTCATTGAAATGAGCTTCCATTTTGAGAGAAACGAGTAATTGTTAAAGCTCATTGTCATTGGAAAATCTGACTGTCGGTTAAGTTTTCAACTTAACGATATTTATATATTTTATGTAGCTTACTTGAACTCGTCTTCCCATTTTCCCCAGCTTGTCTTGATTCACAGCGATAACCTCACTACAAAGAGAATTTTATTATGTTCAGATTCACTTGCAACGTCTAAAGTAAGGAAATTTATTGAGAAACTTTAAGGCAAATATTACCTGTTGAGTAGAATTTCTTTTGCCCACAGAGGGATTTTACGAAGATCAGTCGACATAATTAAGGGCTGCAAAATAAAAAAGTATTTGAAATGATTATGGTCGTCCGGATTACAGTAGTCATTGTTGTTAACCGCTTAAGGACTAGCTCGTTCGGTATAGCGCTTGGCTGGCTTCTACTGTCCACACTCCTGTCAACAATCCTCGAAGTGACTCAATTTGGGTGATAAAACAACAAACAACAACAAACAGTCTTCCACATTTGGTCAGCAGTAGCTGGTTATGAAGAACTGACTGGGGTATTTCAGCCAATCAGAAAAGGACAAATATTTTGAATGAATACTTATACTGGATGTCCGCAGATAGAGTAGCCAATCAGAGCTCGCGAAAAACACTATCAACTGTTTTAGTACACACCAAAAAGGTTTATAAAGGGTTGGTTACACATGTTCATTAATAAGCTGCTGTATGTGCCTCGTACCCAGATGTGTCTCTCTCGATGTAACTTTGCGTTCGAAGGAAGGCAGAAAAGGAGAAAACGGGCGCTTCTCTTCTTTTTCCTTCCTGTGGTTCCTTGCACTTTGTCACCAGAAACTAAAGTTTCGGGCTCTCCTTTGTTTACGACCAAGGTGCAAAAAAACGACGCGTCAGAGGAGTAAGGAGCTGCTGAGTCATAAAATTAAAGGAGACTCATAATAATCATATACTTACAGACGCCATGACTGCCCAGATAGCAAATTGAGCTTTGGATTCTTCATAACTTAAACCAAAGTCACCTACAATAAGCTAAAAATATATATGAAATCATTAGCTGCAAAAAAATAATAACAATAATCCAGTAATAAAAATTGTCTTTCCTCAAAAAAAGTTGCATAAAATGCCTCACCATATCTGGATCATTCCAGTGGCCAGGTCCTGCAGCAGGTATCATTTCATCTTGATGATCACCATACCATTTAACTATACCTGTGACACTCTGCCAAGAATCCTGAAAGACAGACCATTAAATTTTCAATAATTTAATTCAAAGAAATTTTCACAATATTTCTAATTTAATTTCTGCGTTTAGTTGAAACGGTGCCAGAAAAAAACAAGTCATACTACCTGCATACTCAATAAAAATAGAGAGATTAAGATTCACGTTTACGCCAAACGGTAAACGTGAATTTGTACCACGAGACCAAGTTTTCCCCTTATTTAAAAATAAATAGTTTTATGCCAGTTTTATCCATAAGAATCGTTCTGGACTGTTTATATCTGCTTATTTTGTATTCTGAGAAATTCTCAACTTGAATCTGACGTTTGCCGTTTGCGGTAAATGTGAATCTTAATCTCTCTAATAACCAATTATAAACTTCTACAACCTTAGGCCCAATCACACACACCCTTTCAATAACATTCACTTGAATATGCAAGTTGAATATGCTGTTGGGGCTAGTGTAGTCCTGAAAAGCAATGTGTCAACACTGACTAAGGTTTTGATAAGTTGACTTTGTGAAAGTCATCACAAGAAGTAAGTTACAACTACTACATGAGAAATTTGTGCAATTTGATTGGCTTAGAACAGTGGTATTTCAGCTTAATTTGAAATACCTTCATGTGAAAATTACAAAACCTTTGCAGGTACTAGTATAAACAAATAATAGCATGATTTGTATGTGATATTCGGAATAAATACCACTCGTGATATTTCAAAATTGTGTCAAATTTCACGACCCGTTAGGCGAGTGAAATTATGTATAACAATTTCGAAATATCACCGAGGTATTTATGTCAAATACCACTACAAATCATGCTATTACCTATACTAATACTAAGCAGTACAGTGGAACCTCAATATAATGCAAACAACCTACCAGTATAAGCCGGGCACCTTAGATTTCATGAACAGGCTCAGAGCTGTAGGGCACAGCCTTGAACATATATAGTTCACCAACCAATGATCATCTAAGTGATGGCCAACAGTCAATCAAGACACCTATTCATAACTTTTACCACAAGCACTTCACTAATTTTATTGAAAATGTTACTGAATCAATTACCTGTATATCATCATAGTTTCTCCACAAATTGCAGTATTCAGCAATTCTTGTATAGTTGGGCTGCAAATTTTAAAGTTCAATATCAGCCATAATAGTACAACGTTGTCTCAGGGATATAATGAAAAAGGTTTTGAATTTACATGTTTATAATTTTTTTAATAACTGATGATACAGAGTGTATAAATACGTTTTAAACCTTATCTGGGTGGTATTCTGCAACCAAATAAGTAAAGCTTTGTTGAAACACTATAAAGACATTTTTTGGAAAACTTACTGTAGCTTAATATAATTATAATGGCAAAATAATATCTTTATGTAGCCTCCTCCAAAAACTTTCAAAAGGAAGTGGGGGGGTGGGAGTGGGGCTGCAGAAATTGTTTATGTACAAGATGGTTCAAATCGCCCCTGGCCATTAAGGCACTTAGAAATTCAACTTCCAGAGGTACAATGGACAGTATTTTAATTCCATGCTTTTGATTTGGCAGAACATTTTTTCAGGACCATCAAAAGCATGGAAAACATTTTACTTTTGGAATGATATTGGTTTGGCATTCTCTGGGAGCTTGCAGCGATAGGGGTTCTTTTACTTATGTTGAAAACTTATGTGTACAGATCATTGTGAGGAAGCACAGATTCTGGCCAATAATAAGAGTAGAAAAAGCATGCTTCTTACCGTTATTTTTGCTGCTACTTGATAAGCTGGCCAGCTACAAGAAAATACTATTGGTCGACCTGTGTTGTTAAGTGCCTTAGTGACCATTGGGTAGCCTGTGTCCATTGTCTTTGGGTCAGCATAGCAGCCATCCAGTTTTAAATAGTCTACTCCCCACCCAGCAAACGTCTAAAAAGTGATTTTTAATGACATGTAACGTTTACAAATATGTATGAAAATTAAAACATGGTAAAGAGAGTGTTTTGAGGCAATGTTGATAAAATGAGCCTGATAAGCTATTAATCTTAAAATTAATCAACAAACTTTTCCTGTGATAATGTGGTAAAAAGAGCAAAATGAAGTTCGTTACATTCAAAGTTTACAGATGAATGTGTCATCATGATGTGTAAATGTATCTTCAACTAAGAGCTGCTCACTTGAGCAAATTTGATGAAATATTAAGAATTTGACGCTATAAAGAAGTCAAGAAAAGGACTCTTCCTAATCTTACGAAGCTACTATCTGGAGAGGTAACATGCAGTAACTATTAAAAATCTCTGTGTTTTTAGCAAAATACAGAATGGATGAGCATAAATGGAGGGTGTGACACAGTGTGACCTTGCCCCCCTGCCCCAACTCCTTTAAAAAATCATAACTTTGTCCCTAGTTTTACTTTAAATGGAGATGCCACTTGTCATATGAGAAATAAATTTAATTAAGATGGTTATAAGAAAAAAAAGGGCTCCTTTTTACTTACATTCATATCTTGCTGAATATGGTCAATGCTTCCTGGATAGCCTCCACAAGTTTTAGTTCCATAATCTGAGATAAATAAAAAAAATTATATTATTGGCTTAATGAATCATATACAAGAAAATGAATGGTAAAGATTGAAGTTTCCTATTAGTGAGAATGGTTTTTCGTGAAAATTGTGGAATCTACAAACTAAAAACATAAAATGAAAGTTTTTAGGACGACATTGAATAAAATGGAAGTTTGTTGGTTCTTTCCCTTGCTCCGAGAGGTTTTTCTCCAGGTATTCCAGTTTTCCCCTCTCCTCAAAAACCAGCATTTCAAAAATTCAGAACCACATTTGCTACAAATTTAGGAAAGTTCATTTAATATGACAAGGGGGGGGATGAAGATATTGAGGGGGGCTCCAAAATTTTTAGACACCAAGAAATCAGAAAAAATTGTTGCCTAGGAGGGGGGGGTCGAAATTTGTAATGACATCATCACTACAGATCGGATGGTTTTCAACTCAACAATTTAATGACCTGTGCAACTCAGCTATATCACGTGGTTTATAGATATAACAAATGTAGTCTTGGTAGTTTTTACACTTTCAATATCTTCATCCCCCTTGTCATATTAAATGAACTTTCCCTTATTTATTTTATTTTATTTAATAAATTATTATTATTTAAGACACTTAAAAGAGATAAAAAAAATTATTTGGAACAGCCTCACATGATCCCCTTCCTTAAGGAAATTTCTGAAAGAAAAACAGCTTTTTCATTCAAGAGAAGGAAAACTATAAATTTCAAACATGAAGTTTTTGCCAGGTCCTTTAACAACTGTTTTGCAATGAATATCTTCATTTATAGAGACAATTCTTATCAGACTGACAATAGAGAGGGAGTGTGTAGTTAACCCAACATGATAAAAAAAAGTTTATGAATTAAAACAAGTCTCGATCTAATAACAGCTTCAGTGGAAATGTCCACAATGAAGAAATATCCAACGGCAACATTAAGTCATAAATTTTATCCATTAGTGCTTCCTTCCTCCTAAAAATTGTAAAACACTTGTCAGACTTCACCTGCATATATTCCAAACTTTAATCCTTTCAAATGAATCTGAAAGTTAGCGAGAGATTGTTAAAGAATAAATGTTTGAACACAAGCAGTACTTCTTTTTCACTGGTTTATTACTCATAACCAACTATGCACTGCATACTCTCAGAAAACAGAGATGAGGGAAATGAAGGTAGAAGGTGAACACCCTGTAAGTGTTCATTATTTTTGTACCTTTATGGTGGTAAATTAAATCAGATATGCTTATTGAATAATTCAATAGACATATCCGATTTCCTTTGCTCGTGAAGGGTGAATTAGTAATGGTGACAGGACCGAGTGGAGTCCAATTCGGTCTGTAATCATACGAGTGATTAACAAAATCAGATGACCGCGTGGCGGGAGTTCGATTTGTTTAATCACAAGTATGATTACAGACCGAATTGGACGACACGAAGTTCTGTTATCAATTAATCATAACTTTAACAAAACTTGTGATATAATAGGCTATTTTTTAAATCAAAACACAAGAAATTCCAAATTTTGTTTTGCTGGCAGTGAAAAACTAAAGCCCTTTAAGCACACGTGTGATGGCGCGTACTGTCCAATTACTTAGGCATGACACGTACTGTCCTATAAACTGTCCAATTAAGGCTGAAATTAGGGCAGTTGACAGCCAATCAGATTTGACAATTTTGTCATAGTTATGATTATAATCATGAAAGCATGAGGAGTGAAGGTAATAAGGATTAGCAAAGCTTGCTAGGGAAACAGTGTTGTTTGCTAGAAAAGTAATAATTACTTTCTAGCAAACAACATTGCTTCCCTGGCAAGCTTTGCTTTCCCTACCTTCACTCATCATGCTTTCACAATTTCACCCTTCATTAGGCAGAACTACTAAATACATGTAGCCTGAGAGCTGTTTAAAAAGTGAACAGGTGGGTCAACAAAGAGAAAAGGTTAAGGGGGAAGACAAAAATGAGAGAAGAGAGTAGGAAATAAAAGAAAAGAAGGAGTGAGGCCATGGAGACAAGAGTAAAGGAACCATGCTATGTAGGTGTGAGAATGCACCAGGAAAGTGGGAGTGGGGTTAGAAACATGGAGAAAAAAAGTGCACAAGCTAAGCAGGAGGATAGGGAGTCTTAACCACATCGCATACAAAGGGTGGGAGAAAGGGAGCAAGAACAATGGAAGACATGGGTGGGAACTAAAAGGGAAAAGGTCAGTAGTATTGATCTGGTAATGGTGTAATACCCTGTTTTATAGTTTTTGATTTGTCATTGAATCTGTCAGGGGGAATTCTCTTCTCTTCGCACCTAACAGCTAGTTTTGTAACTAACAGTGCTAACCAATAAAAATAAAGTCTTCATGTTACTTTGCTTTAGGGTTTCTGCAACATTTAAGAGGAAATGGGAGCTACAGTCATGGAAAGGGTCCAAAACAAGGGAAGGAATAGAAGTAGCCTTGATTTGACAGCTTTTATCTGAGATTTTACTCACATATTCACCAAGAGCTTTCATTCCATGTGGAAATCTTTCAGGGTCTGGCTGGAGCTGACCATCAGAAGTACGATTATGTGAGGCCCAGCAATCCTAAAAAGAACATTTACACAGCTTTGCTTCATTAAGACTGGTATCCAAAAATGAGACAAATCACAAAGAAGCTATGTAATGGATATAAACATTAAAATGCAGGTAAAGAAAACTTACATCAATGGACACGTATTCATAACCAGCATCCTTAAAACCATCCTCAGCCATGCGATCTGCCATCTCCATGATTAACCTTTCACTGATAATATTAGAACAAGATAATTAAATTTAAGAATTAACGCAGCCATAAAGTCATATCTCCATGTGTGACTGTAACACTCTGGTAACTGACCAAATATAACAATAAGCAACCACCTATACCCAAAACACCATAATGTTTCCAGTCAAAGCCTTAAAGCTCAAACCACACCCAAAAAACCACCTCCTGTACATGTAAGTGATGCAACCACTTTATGAAGTTGATGGTTTTATGATTTTCCATTGTTTTCTACCTCTTGTAAGAAACCACTTAACACATGGTCTGATCTCTATGTTTGCTGTATGTACTTTAATTAACTCAGGGTATACCTTCAATTCAATTCTTGGTTTAAATTTTATTTTCCATTGTTTTGGGTATGGTAATGTATGATAATGAGTTTGAAACAAAGGAAAATAAAATTCAAACCAAAGATAAAATAATTTGAACCACAACATATACAAATAACTTTTAGTAACTAAATTTGACAATCTACACATATTTTAACTTCAAATAAATTATTATCTTCCACATTAGTCCAGATCTCTTCTCAGAAGAGTCCCCGATGGTTTGATTGCCATAAACAACCACCTGCCATTAGCAACCACACTAAGCCTTTGCATTTTGGGTGGTCACTTATTATGAGGGGCTTGGCTGCAGTAACAATGCTGTATAAAATTAATGATCATTATCTGAGCATACAAATATCAAAAGAAAGCATCAAACTAAAACATTTTTTTAAAAAAAGACAGAAACAGAAATACCTGATGCAATTTTCAGGATCATTTGTACAGTCTATGTTACAGCGGAATCTCTCCCAATCCATCCATCCCACTAAAATGAAAATAACATCTTAATATATCACACAAAACTAACTTTGGGTATTCTCCTAAGCAGATAGCTATAAATTTACAAAAGTACTTGCAATAATAAGAAATTCATATGTAATAAATGATGATCATGCAGTGAGGCTATGACCTGACTTTTGTTTACATAGCTGCCACAGGTCTGCAAAGTACAGGTGAGGGGTGCATTATTATTGCAAGTCTTGCAATAATTTCTTAGCCAGTGTTGGGTGAGTTTGTAACACTAAGGCCTCTCAATTTGTGCCCAGTATTAAATTTAAAATAGGTAGGTTTTTCAAGACCAACTGTAGCGATGATCTGCAACCAATTCTTTAAGACACACCTGAACACCTGAATTTTTCGACCTTTCTGCTGCAAAGTTTGAAAACGGAGTGATGCGACTTTCTGTGGGAAAATTGCTCCAGTGCTGGAGCTCTTTCAAAACATGGATTCCGCCCTTGTCCTTCTATTATTAGGAACAGTAAACGGCGAACTCAAAATCCTTCAAAATTGCTCAAAAAAAACACTTTTGAGTCAAAAGGACAACAATATACCACAGATAAGGTAATTCAACGTTTATTTAACATTGATTTATATACATGCTTGGCAATACATTGCTATAGGTCAAGCAAATGGTAAATCCACTACATGTACTATAAAACTAGTAGTAATCTCAGATTAGGAAGTGCGTTTGAGATTTTTTAGGTTTACTGTCAAATGTGATGTTATTTCCTATTGATGTTGCAAAATGCTTCCTATATGTTTTTTTTAAAACAGAAACAAAACAAAACAAAACAAAACGATTACGAAAAAAAGAAAAAAGTATCACGCAGCAGGAGTCGAACCCGAGACCTTCGACGTGTAATGGTAACACAATATCCATTGCGCCATGCAACCATTGCTAAGAGCATTCGTCAAATTATTGTATTCAACATTTTTGTGCCTGGTGAGATAAATTATTCAAGATGGCGCAGAAAATGCAGACGTACAACGAAATGAGTACCACAAAAGGTCACCTTTGAGTACCACAGGAATCCAAAGATTTTGTGTTGTCTAGCACAATATATAGCAATCGGTTGCACACTGATTTCATGTGTCGGCGCCCGTGGCATCATCCACCGCAGGGGTGGAAGAGGAAGTTAAAGTAAATAAATAAATTGTAAAGATTTCATAACACCCCAGAGGTCTACTTCTATACTTTCTCGTTTCCTGTTGCTGGAACATTGCCAAGGGTTCTGCTTCTTGCTGCAAAAGCACCCTTATCACCTGATTCTCAGCACCACCAGCTGGCGGTTACCAGTCGTTTCGATACAAGTCGTTTCGATCCAAGTTAATTCCTTCGGGGTGTAAATAGTTTCACGTACTTGGCTTAAAGAACGAAGAATATTCACCCAAAATGTTTTTCTCGTTCAGCTGCAAAATTTATTTGAAGTAATCCAAATTTCTGTGTAATTTCACTGCTTGAGTTCATATCGAAACAACTTGTATCACATATGAATAATACGGTGCCTATAATTTGTTCCAAAATACAGAATTTAAAGCAAATTTTTCAATAAAAGTTTCAAGAAAGTTTCAACCGGTGCAGAAATCTCAACCAAAGGCATATGAAGTATGCACGAAAGAAAGTTTCAACCAGTGCAAAAATCTCAACCAAAGGTATTTGAGGTATGTGCGTCGATTCAAATCCACCAATCAGCGTATCATGACCAAACAAACATCCCTGCGCGGGGCAGGGTTGTGGTTTTGAACTACCAACGGTCGTGATATGCTGATTGGTGGATTTGAATCGACGCGCATACCTCAAATGCCTTTGGTTGAGATTTTTGCACCGGTCATGTTGAGAAAGCTGGTCTCGCATCTTCAGGATTGCTTTTCTCAAGAAATTTTGGAAGGATTGAGCTCTCATTCAGATGGGGCATGGATACATATCATTCTAGTGGATCAGGAGTCGGTATTTTCGAGGTAAGAAATTAAATAGTTTGGCGTCAGTTCCAGCTTAAATTGGACTGGGTCACGCGCCGGCGGCTGATTGCTGCCTGCCTTGTCTCCTTCTTTAGTTCTAACCTCCGAGGTCAAATAGTCATCTCCCAAAATAGCGCTTAAAACAGCATGGGACGGCGAAAAAACATGACACATGACTCAGTTAACATTTTCTTGAAACTTTTATCGAAAAATTTGCTTTAAGTTCTGCATTTTGGAACAAATTATAGCCACCGTATTGTTCATATGTATTTCTTCTATAAATAACAAGAGATCGTTGCTCTGATTTCAATCAACAACGGCCCCCACTAACAGAGAGTGGTCTGCCTGTGCTTGTATTGAAACGACTTTGTATCGAAAGGAGAAGTTTCCCAGCTAGCGGTCACAGCGGTACTCATTTTGGCAGCTGCAATGCCTGCGTTTGATGTGCAGTTTACTAAAGTATCTCAGATAGCTGCACTTTATTTAAGGGTTACCTAATTTATAGACAGAATAATAAAGGGAAAACGCGAAAGATCGAAATCTATTTATAATAAAGGAATAAACATAATATTAGCCAGCTGAAAATCATGTGACAAGAAAAAGGTGCCGCTTTCAAACGAAATGACAAGAAAATGTAAAATGGATCTTTCCTAGCACTTACTTGGTGGAGTTTTCGCTAAACCATTGTCCAGAGTTTCCACAAAGACCAACGACTGCCAGAATGAAATAAGCAAAGCAAGCAATCCAAATTTTCCTGTCAAGGAGAACTCCATCTTTAACACGATCCAAACTACTACCGCTGTGCACCAGACCCCTTGAGGTCTTCTCAAGCGTCACGCGTCACGCGATCTTGTGAGTAACGAGAACTGAACCGTGCATGATAAAAAAGCTATATATTGCGCTTTGCTCAAGATTGATCGATTAGACCATTTTTCTTCAGTGATGATAAGAGTACTATAAGAATCTGATTTCAAAAATATAAAAAAAGTTGAGTTGTGGAAAACCCCTCGACTTGGCCTTAAATCCTTCCCGAACGAGGCCCGGATAATTTAAAACTGGGATTTTGTGATTCCCTCCTCTGAGAAATCCTCTCTTAGCTCTCTTTAATTGAAGAAGTATGAGGTTTTCAGTTTTTAACGATTAATTGCAGTTTTTGAGATTTTTATTCATTGCAACCAAATGTGCCCCCGTTTCTTAAGAATCATTCACGTCCGGAGTTGCAGTAAAATCAGGTCTGACTCTCTTCCCTTTGTGCTCTTCCGCGGCGATTTTCCTTCTCTCTTGTCCCGATCATGTACACAAGACAACAACCTAAAATATCCGCGGCCGTGTGATGTCCTGTGTGAGGCAGGCAGTTGGAATTCCATATCCTGCTACGCCACTTATGGTTAGCAGCACTGGGCTCAGTTGTTCGATGGCCGATTAGCGCTTAACCCGGGATTAAATTTAACATGGGTTTCTTTTTCTTGTGTTCAAAAGCATTTTCTCGAATAATTTTCTGTGCTATTTTTAGAGCGTCCAATCATCAACTTGTAGACAAAAAGAACCAAAACTGAAATGCCTTTTAAGCTTTCAAATCTAAATTCAAATCTCGCACTAACCCTGGGTTATCTTAAGCTTTGAAGGCCCTGAGCTATTTAATTAACTACACTTTTAGATGAGAGAGAATCAAAGGAAGTTTCATAAAAAATGTATTTTTAACCTTACAAGCTAGAATCCTATCATTTAGTTAAACGGAAATACTTTGCTGACCAGTGAAAATGGTATTGGATTTGTTTAATCCATGGCATATATTGCACTCGGATGAAAATATGCTACTTGGCAAAGCTCCTGTGAGGGATGTTTTGAGTGATCCATATCGAGTAGTTAATCCCCATCGGTAAAAGGGCGAATGTAAATATTCCAATATCTACCAAAACTTAGAAAATAAAGTAAATTGATTCCTTTTACAATTCATTTGAAAGGATAGAGTGTACAACAACCTAACCGTGTATCTAAAACTGAACTAAACTTGCTTCTTTTTGGTCCTTGGACAACTAACCGATGATGTTCAAGGTGGTGGCATTTTCAGTAGTTTTGCTGCTTTGCTTTCATAAGACTTTAGGTGTTCGTATGTCTTTTGATAATGGTAATTTTGATGCGTCGTGGTCATACAGCCAGGACTTTGATGAGTTGTATTTTGAAGTTAATGCAAAGACAAGTGGTTGGGTTGGTTTTGGCTTCACCTTTACACCAGAAAATATGAGCAACTATGATGTAGTCATCGGCGGACAAGCAGACTGGGGACAGAGCTATTTCTATGTAAGTGTAGTTTCCTCATTTTTTTTTCTCAAATTCTTAGACTACAAAGATAGCAAATGCGCCCAAAAATTCAGAAAACTTTCGAAATGTGCAACCCTTAGATAGGGACCGCAACTTTGGTGTAATTTCGCCGGTTTCTTACTGGTGCAACCTGATTTTGATTCTTGAGAAATTACTTTTTTTATAAGAAAGGAAACAGATAAATCCATTAGAATCTCTATAAAGCACCGAATTACTGCTGAATAAGAAGCCATTAGTATGTCAATGGCAGAATTGTCATCTAAGTGACACAGTTGCACTGACCGACGTGAAAATGACATTTTGTTAAGATGGTTGTGGCTCTGAAAGCCCTTTTCAGTCAAAGTCAAAGCCGAACTCAAGGATATCTTGTACCAGTTTCCTTTCTAGCTTCACGCTTTTATCGGACAGCCTCCTACTTTTCACTTAAGTGAAAGTTGCCATAATATACCTGGCTACTTAAGTTTCATTTTTAAAATGTTAAGTGGGGTGGGTAAATTCTATCATTGAGACGTACGAGTGTGCGCTTTCACGGTAAGGTTAGTGTGGATCGTCTAGATCATCTCGATCAAATTCTCTTCGAGAAAGCTAATGCAGACAGAAAACGTTTTCAATCCCTAATTAAAAAGACGCGATAACGAATTTATTGGTTTTAACATGGAGAGGTATCGGACTGAAAGGGAGACTTTACTTAACAGGATTATTTGACTTCTGGAGTTGGAATACCCCACTTGGACTCAAAACAAAGTTATATATTGGACAAAGCAACGGAACAACATGGAATTACATCACTTCGCTTTCATCGGAAAAGAAACACAAATGACTCACAGGACATTCAGTTTAATGTAAGTTCTCTGTGAGACCTCAACGTCAATGTATCATTGTGACTAGTTTTAAAGTGCAAAACCTCAAACTCTCTTTCTCGATACTCTTATCGCCTCCTTCTCTGGACTGCATACATGAGAGGGGAACTGAAAGGATCAAACGAGTGTGTTCGAGAGATAGTTATTTGGAGACGGTTCTTATCATTAAGGAGCCTATAAAGAGAACTTAGAATAATTCGTAGGCTTCAAATGTCGTGTTTTTTCGTATTATCAGCTTGTTATTCAATGCTTTTTTTTTTTTTTGTTCTATAAGTTGAATAAATTGAATAACGGTATTTATAGTATATATAATGCCCTAAGAGTCATGAACCAATGCAAGCAGTTCCCGGCTTGTTTGATAGACCAGTGTACATAGCTAGCCTATTCCAGACTCCGCTCAGTCGGTCCAGACGAGGGATAGAAAAAAATGAGCGCGCAACTCAAGAGGCCCAGTCCCGCTTGGCATCAGTCTTGGTGCGTTTTTTTCTCGCACACGGTTACCGTTTCCCGTTTTCACTAACTGGGAACCTGGAACAGAGCATTACATAGCCTGAAGATGACGGTATAGTACTACCACTAAGGGCGACGCCTAATAAGCAATGCCGGCTATTTTCAAAAGCGTTTATCAGTACTCCATTCAAAACACTACTCATCTATATACGATTTCCTGAATATTTTCCCTGACAGAATTAATCGCAGACATTCCCTTATACTTTTAAGTGAAAAAGCATCACAAAACAAACGCCAAGGTCATGTGTTACCTCTTTCCGTATTCAGTTTGTTTCATGCAAAAGGCTTTAAATTTTTTCATGTTCCTCTTCAGAGCTTGAAGAGACTCTACATTAACACAAACTGCCTTATTTGAAGGATTGTTACTTCATTTCTTGGTCTGATATCACTTTATATTGTTTCACTTGCAGATCTCAACCAGGGTTTTCATTGTGTGGGCCTTTCAAGAAATGGACGATGTAAATAATCTTCGCATGTTCAGCATGCATACCCGTAAAGGTTATTCAAGGGAAACTCAAATTCTTGCAATCGAAGCTTCTGAACCCACATTTTCAACTAAGAAGTTCGTGAAAACTGAGCCTGGAAACACAAGTAGATTCGAGATGACTACTAAGTTACTTGAGGCCAAATCCTCAGGGTTTAAGCAACGATTTAATGTTATAACGCTCTCCTTTGTTACCATAACTCTATACTTTCTGTTGGTCTTACAATTTGCTTGCTGACACTTGCTCATTTCTAATCTATTCAGCTAAAACAATTTCATTTTGTTTACCAAGGACAGAAATGGTAAACAGTGAGCAAAGAGGACAGTTTAAAATAATCACGTGTCAAAATGTTTGTAACGTTTTACCAGCCATTTTCAGGACGTTGTTTACTGGCCATGTTCATTCTTAGGACAATCTAGAGTGATCTGAAGAAAGAAGTTCACATGACCCACATTGACGCATACGTCGGGATTGAGTGTCAATAGAACAGAAATTCGAGAAGGCTATTGCTGAAATACCATAATATTCTTTTTTTTCGGTTTGGGCACATCATTTAAAATCCTTCTTGTTTATTTCTCTTGGCAATAGAAGACAACTCCTGAACACAAAAGACAATGGTACTAAACTGTACCATAGGCTCCTGACTGTACTTAGCAAACGTTGCACAACGGCGTTTGCATGAAAACAGTTCCTTTTTTTAAAAATGATGAAATCAGGCTGAATTGTAGTGTCGCTATCGATCTTATATTCCTTATGGTTTCAGCATTTTTGAATAAAGTTCAGCATTTCAAGGATAAAAAGGTCATCACAGTTCCGTTCAATTTTATTTTTTTAACAAGAAAATACAAGAGACTCGGAGAAAAGAGAAGAACTTCTGATGATTTACGTAGTTTAGAGACATGTACTGAGAAAATGTGGGGTAAAAATGTTCGACAGCCTGGTAAACAGATCCAAAAAATCCAAAAACTGTTTAGAAAAAAAGCATGCGAAATCTCGGACTATTTACACAGAAAACACACCAGATCACCAGACCAAAACTAATTTCAAATTACTCAAATGTTTTAGCTGTAGCAAGAGGAGTTGTGAAATAAAAATGAAATATAGGAAACGTTTTAGTAAAGACAAATGACGTCTCCCCTGCGTGCTTAACTCTACTAACACGAACTTCCGACACAATATTTTGCAATGGTGACGGCATATCGGTAATATACCCCACTCGGCGTTTTTCTTCTATTCTTTGGTGTTTAGATAACATGACATTTTATACCCCCACTTTTAATTTGTTTTGCGTGGAACCGGATATTGCGTTTTCATAAGGCTTATTTCGGATGTCCTTGGACCCTTTCATGAAGCGTTCGTTAATAACAATCGAAGCAGGAGTTCGCCGGGGAAAAAGGTAAAGAACGGGAACCGAGAGAAAAATCTGAACAAACGCTTCAACTTCCGAAAACAAACACGTTTTTGATTTGAAATTTACAATGAGAAAAATATACACCCATGGTTAGCAGCTGTGGGTACAAGCAGCGGCGTTTTTGAGCGACGCGATTTAACCCGGAAGTGAGCCTTTTTCACTTTTAATTTGACGCTGCCAAATTTGTATTACTAGGCGTCTGAACTCTTATGACGAATTGTCCAAGAATGTGTTCAAAATCACGGCCTAAGAATGCAAAACTTGTACTTATAATCGTTTTAAAAGAGTTAGCTAACCAGTTAGGTCATTGTAGCGTTTCTCTTTTTTTCTTTCGTTCTTTTTTTATTAGTGTTTCTTTTTCTGTTAGTTTTTCAATTTCTTTGTCGCTGCTAGCTCAAAGAAAATTGCAAAAATCCGCGACGCTAGTCGCTACATTACTCGGTCACTTGGTAGTTTTTTGACGACAACGCATGCGTGTTTCGTCGCACGCGCAAACCAGGGGATGTGGACGAGAGTTCGAGTGCGAACCAAAGGAAACCGGCATGACGTAACAATAAAGAGGTTTGGAGGGAATTAGGGGTAATTATCCCCAAGGTTGGTTGAGTATCAGGTGCTTGAATCACTTCCCAAAAAAAAGACAAATATGATGACAAGAGAGGATAAATTAATAATGTACCGACGGTTTTTCAATTTATAAAGCACACAGAAAGAATTTTTAGGATTAGGCATCCATGAAAGTCAGCGTCGTAAAAAGGCTGAGAAAAGCACTGAAATTTCTCCTAGCTACATCTAACTCATGAATAAACCAATCTTAAGCATCAATTTTGTCTTCAAGGAGCTGTTTATTTTCGTCTCAGTAGGGATCTAAACTAAAATTTGGGAACTCCAATATAATATTATACTATGACTGAAAGCTTTCGAGTAGTATTCAAGCTTCTATTTACTCTTTCACTCAGTAGATAGTTGTTTCTAACTTTTGAAGACTATGCACTTAACTGTGTCTGCGTAAAATGAATGCTTAACATTTGCTTGATTGTCTCGGGCAAGTTTTAACGCTAACTAAGATCATCCTGATAAGAAATCCTTGCAATCGAGGATGACGCACTGATTGAAATAATATTATTCGACGCGGCCAAAACCCGCTCTCGGCTTTACAACTTGAAATATCCTAGGTGTAGTTCAAATTTTTCCTTACCCGTATATATCAGATATATACTTGAAAACATATAGACGTATATGTTAGTCATACTTTTTATCGGAAGTGATAGTATGAAATGTAGAGTTTTCGTGTTTTCACGAAAAATATTTGTTGCGACATACTCGTGAAGCCGGATTGCCGTAACTAATCTTACCCGTTAACCGCTATCCGATTAAGTTTTCATTCCGGAACAAAGTGGTATATATCCTCGGTCGTTTTTGAGTTGATTACGTTTAGCACCTAGCCTCCTTCGGCACCTGGCGTAGGTGGGCACTTTCCCAAAATCTTATAAGGGTGCTTTCCAAAATGTCAGAACTGGCTGGCCGGACCATGGCCGGACCGGTCATTTTGAAAATGAAATAGGGTTTTTCCAAGAGCTTTTCAAAAACTTTTGGTGATGAAAAACAATTTCCTTCGTGCATGCTATTTAGGATTTGACTGATCTGGCTGAATAGCTTTGATTAAAAGTGAAATTCTCATTACAAAGAGAATGGCCGGGCTGGTCAGTTCTGACAAATGCAGAGCGCCGGCGACCTTATACTGGTCTCGGATCATCATACCCACCCACCCCTTCCCTAAACCAACATTGACCCGTTTGGCAAATTATAGGTTAGCTCACAATTTTTGCAAACACATTTATCAAAAGAGTTCGCGATTTTCACTTACAGGAACGTTAAGTTGAGCCCACAAACAAGAAGCGCTGGCTAGAAAAGAAACGTTTTTCTCCTTTTTAAGTATGTATGTGTGTTGCTCGAACACAAGTCAAAGGGTATAATACCTTCCTTAATCATGATACCTCGCATGCCCACATTTGCGGTTTCAGGCGCATTGCTGGAGCTTGCTGGAACTCTTAATTCGGGGGCCAGTTTCTATGGCACGGAACACTTGGGCATTTTGCAGGCGATTCCCCCTCTGGACACGGGGATGTTAGTGAAGTCCAGCGCGGGGTTCTCCCAGCAGTATGTATGTCTGTATGTCGCCAATACCTACTTGTGACCTCTCCCCATATGTTTTAAAGGTGGTTAACGCTATATGTCCACGGAATAAATCTCTTTCTACTGGATAACCCAACCCCCGACAATCCCCTTAAGTTTATCCACTAGATAGTGATTTTTGCAGTGGATAACGCTATCCACCACTTAAAAAACCGAGGCCAGCGCGAGATAGACAAAGTCGTGCAAAGTGTCTTTAAAGCGACTGCAAACGCCACCATTTCCCTTGCCTGACATCCACCATATGATATCCGTAGTTTGAGATTTTAACCCCTTGGCTGTCACGCTTCCACTTTATGCCCATCGAGTATAGTGTGGAGGGTCCTCCAATTCCCAATAGCCTAATCTTTTCGGCATCCGGGATACGCGATTTCCCTTATGTGAAGGCCAAACCTTCACTTCCTCTTCCACTGCCCGAAGTATTCAACTCTTACAAATGATTTTTTTCACCAAATTCAAAGTTATTTTACAAACTTTGAGCAAATACCCTACTTGGACCTAGTGATTAATTAAACTAATGAATTCCAATGATGGCTATGTTAATTTACGACTGATGAACTTTGCCTCATTATTGATTAATTTACGTGCACTTCAAAATCATGACACTTAATTTTTACTAAAAATCTATTTTTTTAGTCCCTACATCCTTTTGCCGATACTATAATTACTTATAGTCATGCAAAAAAAAAAGGTTTGTTGTTGTTGTGCAAGGCTGGGATTCGGGATTTTAAAGCAAAATGGGGTCGAGATTTGAGATTGAAAGTATGTACGGGATGTAGGATACCAAGTCCCAATATGGCTCTTGAGGATACCAAAAATAACCACCGAGAACACGGGATGGAGGAAAATTTGGGTCGGGATGACGAAGAACCTACCCTTATTGGGAAGTATATGAGCCGTTAAGAAGAACTGAGTGGTCATGGACATTGAATCGTTTACCGCTTGTTCTTACCGAAGCTAATCATCAGGACGATGGCAGACATCTTCCATCCATTTTCACTGAAACGCACTAGCTCATAACCTATAGGAAGCCCTCAGCGATGTCTGAGTGAAGGGGACTAACTTGTCAGAAAATATGGAACGGTCATTAGAGTTGGAGCAGAGTTTCTTCTTATAAACGAGGAAAACCCTACTATAGAATTTTCCGCGTTGATTGTGACTATCATTCTCAGCTCACTCTCATTCTCTCTTGCTCGTTTTAAACACCCGAAACACCCGAAAACTTTCAACATGTTGTCTTATTTGTCCAATTTGATCAAATCCGTTTGAACTTCCTAATTGATCAATCCCATAAGAATTATAAGGAAGAGAAACACGCGTACTGGTTCAGGGAAAGTGCGACATTACATTTCTTAAATTCCTTGGAAGTTTTTCAAGGACAAAAACTGACAAGTGTATTTAATTCCATTCTGATGGCTTGCACGCGATGTCAAAAAAATGTCGTCCACCTCACAACAATATCCTGTCATTTCAAGTCCATTTTCTGCAGCTTTAGGTGCATTTTTGCACGTATGCTTCTAAAAGGATTTTGCTGCACTTAGTGTCTTATTCCACTCACGTTATACTTGCGGTGAGACTATTAACTTACTATAATACACTTCACCACAAAAATGGTTGGGTTCTCTGTGGAATGGAAGGCACGAACTTATAAAAAGGACGAGACGGAACTGGTTGGAGCCGCATGTAGGAAGTTTGCGGAATCAGTACTGGGATCATTAACTATGGGAGACTTTTCATTCCGCTTTTGAAAACTCAAGATTAATATCTCGCAGATCACAAAAAGCCAGTCAAATATAGCGTTAAGAGTTTTTTCACTATCATAAGTCATTCTAAACTGGCTTTGGTTTCATCTGGTTATGTGACGTATACCTTTTGTACCCTAATTTATGCCCGCAAAAAGCTATAACTGTTCTTCGAAAACGTATCTCTTTAGTAGATTTGACTGCTATCCGGGAAGCGGGATTTGCCAAAGTTTTAGGCAGAACGATGCAGGATTGGGAAAGAAAAATATATTCGGAATATCGCCGATGACAGAAGTTCGAGATGCGGGATTTTCGTGAAAAAGGAGCGGGAAACACGGGATCAGAGCCCGCCCCTTCCACTAGACCCAATATAAACTGACACTACAAACACAGCAAATAATTATACTATTCTTCTGCCGATCTATGCTTTTGTCCACCAGTTGATAAAATAGATATATGATCTGTGAAAACACCGTGGCACAAATACATAGGGTCGTTCACTCCTAACACTTTACCTTCTTGACCTTTATTCGCTTTTCTTTTACGAAGGAGAGTAGAAAAGGACGCTGCATTTTGCGCTCCACCCGCCCTCCGCCCTAGTTTGAATTTCATCCGATTGTTTCGAGTCGTTTTCTCCTCTCAGCAACTGAGGGAGTAATAGCGACTCGACGTAATCGAATGAAATTCAGGCCACCCCCCCCCAACTTCCTCTCCCCCAGAAAAACGCCGCAGTCATCGAACGCTAGCTCACTCGAATCTCCCGACTCCTGACACGCCCATTCTGTTGGCCGGGTCGCCAGATACGAGAATGTTCCATCAAAGTCGTTGCGAGCTCCACTTGCATGATAAGAGATAGCAACGAATTCAAACTTGAAAACCTTAAAAGCAAACGTCTATATCAGTGAAAACAGAATTAAAAAATTTAAACAAAAATAGCAAACTCGTCTTCACGGCATGTCACGGCGAAGAGAAAGAGAAAACGCAGCGCCCTGGGGTAACTAGTCTATGGGATAACTAGTTTACAGTATTTTTCTGCAGAGGGTCTGGCTCGTGCGTATACTATATATACGATATCACGTTTTTAAAAGGAGTCTTGTCGCGGTAGAATATTAGATGCAGAAAGGAAAACAGCTATATTTAATGATGCATTAAATAAATACTCCCGCAAACGAATTTCTTTTTAGTACCATACTTTGTTTGTCTGTTTAAAGATTTTATCTCGACATTGCCACTCAAGTCTGAAGATGATAACGGCTAGTGGCTTGAAATCGTGCGAATAGTTTGTTTAACGAGGGCAAAGTATTGTTCACTTTGTGTACACGTGTCGGATGAACGAAGCTTAATGGCTTTGTCAGGCTGTTCTGCTGAATGAAAAGAAATGTAATCAAGTTGGACTTTCAAGTCAGAAAAGACTAAGCGTGTTTGTGAAAGATCAGTCAGTGAATGCTAAACTTAGCCCCATGACCACCCAGTCTCTGTGGCTGGCCATATGTTGAGCAAGTTAGTTGGAGGGGTACATTTTGTTCTCTGTCCCGTAAAACAAACAAAATTACAACAAGTCTTAAGTGCAAAAGGTATGTTAGAGTATAGCTTTAACAAACGATGTGATTAAAGAACATATGCCAGCTGCGTCTGGAAACTGAACGTGAGGTGATCAGTAAAACAAAAAATACTTAAAATTTTCCGGCTAAAATAATCGAAATAATATATATATTTTCTTAAAGTGAAGCCTTGTTCGAAATCGTCTCAGATAAGTTTTCCTTACATTAAAAGTTACAACTGGCGCGGCCTTTAAATAGGTTCTCCATTGTTTTTCTGCACAAAGCAATTGAATAGGACTACCTAAAATCTCCGGGGGGTAAAAAGTGAGGTGTTTTCTGTTCTTTATCCCTTTTTGCCTTTTATCTTTTCATAAGCGCTTAGCACTTTGCCTTTGGTGATCAAAGATGTAATATCGTCACTGATTTTACCTCTTTTAAGCTAAGTCAGGTCATGTTTATTAATCGCCACTCTTTCATGCGTTGTGCGTTTGTGTTTACTCTGTTCCTAATTTTCTTATAAACTTTTTAATTGAGTTCCATTGTGCCGATGTTATGGGGCCAATTTATGTCAACGGGACAATGGAGGTTAGTCGATCACTTGGCAATAAGCAAAGTACGCACATCGACATCCACGCATGCAGCAATGGCAAAAGGTATTCGAGTTCCTGCTCTTAAAACTGTTTTTTTAGACAAGACTGTCTGATTGGACTGGCTGTTTTGTACAGTACAAATTACCGGGTAGAGTAATTAATAAATCTTTCGGTGGGGTCCTTTCTGCACGTTTTAGTCTCCACCCAAAAAATTAAGATGGATTGCAGTTAAATTGGAGCACTTTAATTTGCGAGTACACATAAAAACAATTTGCATTTTGGTATCGTGGCAAAAGCCGCAATGAGCATACATTGCTGCTCTCTTACTGCCAAGTTATTCCTTATTTAAAGCAGTCGCTTTCATACACGTCACGCAGAGGAAGTTAAACACAGAAAAATTGACGCAATTAGGAAGGGCGAATATGCATGAAGAATGACAAGTTAAGTCAATGCCCCTTTTAAAGAACAATGTTTACGCCTTGAATAGGCTTACGAAACACCGCCTTAAAAACGGACAAAATTTCAACGTCTTGACAAGCGTCTTACAGACATACTATCGCCACATGTAATTTTCGTAATTTTACGTCTAATGAAAAATCATGTACAGGCTTTGTTTTGATTGTTTCAATTTTCCTAAGCGTTTGGCCCCATACAAAAAATCACAAATTTCTGAGAATCGTTTATAAGAGATTGCCATGCGATCCAAGAAGTTTGTTGAGCGTTTATCGCTCGCATCTTTCTGAGCTAAACACCGGTATTTTTTGTCTGATCCGTCAGATAACTCTTGGCCAATTTGCGATTTTTTTTCTCTCATTCAGGTATTACCTCACAATTCGGCAGTACAGTTATATATCTCAGTGTGGCAACAATTACTTTTATTTTAAAAGTACTTTTATGTTAAAAGTTTGTGTTGGTGCTCACGTTTATTCTCTTTGCAATCCATGGTCTCATGCCATCGGTTTCATAGTGAAAAATTCTTATTAAAAAAAAAAAAAACTCATTAAAGTAGGCGCGAAAAAAAAAATCGCGATAATAATCAACGAATTTCCAAGTCAAGGCAAACCATTTTTTTTTTCGTGTTTGTTAACGGTACGTAACGTTTCCAGTCATTAGCCTTTTGATAGCTGTCTATCGCTATGGAGGCAGGACAGACAGTGCCAACTTGTTTCTTGAGAATGTTCGAACAACCAACCCCCTAGAGAGGTGACGCGGCGGCAAAAAAGGAAAAACAATCCGCCAAGATAGCAGAACATTTGAGACGAAATTTTCCTTTCTTTTACCCGTCTAGGCAACTAAGTTGTAACGAAATCATCAAATGCAATTAGCAGTGTTTTTCGGGGACTATTTAAGAGACTTGACGTCAATGCCTATTCGGTCATTGGAGATGTAAATTAAAATACACTTCATAGCACTTTGAAGCTGTGGACAGTAGTACTTCCTTTGGTTCAAGTTTGCGGTCATCATGTCAGATGTAGGTCAGATAAGAACTAATTTCTTAAAGAAAACCATTAAATACAAGGAGGGTAATTTTCAAGGGTGTCAGCTACAACGCGAGAATTGGCCTGGAAAGGAAATACGAACCCAACACGGCAGTGCAAAACAATGAATAATTACGCAGTTATATTACGACTACATAATTCAACAAAAGCACAATGTATTTTCATTTGGCAATGAGATTTATTGGACATATCTTCGTGTGTGACGTGTATGTGTGCATTTGTCGAAATGCCTCTTGTGGTTTCATAAATTAATCGAGAATGTATAAAACAAATAAATTTCTATTCAATGTTCTATTGATCCGTGCCCGACGAAAATATCACTAAAAATATATAAAATGTATGCCTCTAGTATTCAAGTTGGGCTTATTTTTTACATACAAACTGTACATCTTCTGTTGTATAAACAACCTTTCCTACGGCACGATTTTCAAACAAGGATTTGTTACATGTCGCTGGAAAGGATCGATTCCAATGGATTGAATAAAAGGTCACAAGTCGCGCTCTTAATTACAAGTAGATTCTGAAAGATTGAAAATAATCTCACTAAGATACAGAATACACGGGCAGCAGGTATCGGATTAAAATGAACGGACAGACATCAAATTATTTTCAATCTGTCTTCAAATTAACAACACGTAGATCAGAGTATGGAGGATGTCATCTCGCTGTAAACGCAAACAAAATTATCAACAAAGTCCAGAGTTTGCAAAATGAATTAGTTACGTTTCGTTCGCTAGTGTTTCTCTTGTGTTTTCTGTCGTGAGCGCTTGGAGTGAAAGCTTCTTCCCGCGGCTGTGTGGTATTGTAACTTTGTATATCTTTCAATGTTCCCTGTTCATCCAATACGAATGAATCATCAAGAGCATGCCACGCTGCCGCGCTAAAATTCTGATCGCCTGTTGTCAACAGGTCGAACAAACACGAGTCTAAGTAAAAGCCTGCGATTTTTTTCTCCATACACTTCGCATAGGCTTCTTTCCGCGACATTTTACTTCTTCGCGGGCGCAATTTCGCGAGTTGATCGTCCGTAAAAGATAAAAGCTCTCTGTAGTCAATTCTCTGCAAGTAAGGGCATCCTGTTACACAAAGTCCATCCGTTGGAAACTTCCAAAGTAACTGTTCGGGAACTTTAACGTGAAACGTCAGAAACTGTCCGACCTGTCGGATAATTATCGTAGTACTAATGTAACAGATTTTAATCTCGATGTGTGTGCGGGGTCCCTTTTGCCGCGTATAAATCCTAGCTGGACAGTCCAAAGGCCCTGTTTTGTAAGTTCCATCCTCGAACTCTGCAGGGAGCGTGTCGCCTGCTTCTGCTCGATAAGTTTTCTGAAGAACGCAACCATTGCCCCTTGGTTTTATCACGACTGTGATCTAGAGAGAAATACATACGACTACGGATTAGAGTAGAAACTCAGTAAAACGCGATCCATCATTTTCGACAGCCTCTTGTGCTAGTTGCGATGATGGATTGCCTTATTTTAGAAACAAATTGCATGATGATATGTGATTAAATTCATCACAAAAGAGAACAAGCTAAGTCAATGCAAAGCTTATTACAGTACTGTGACTTTAATGAATGGACAGCGTACTTGCCGGGGAAACCTGCTACAACATAGCCAAAGTTGGCTCGTAAGTAATTAGAAAACGCACAGCTTGCGAAAGCGACGAACTCTGTGCCAGAAGACATGCCGTGTCTTTGACAAGCTGTTGGAGTCCATGTTTGAATTGCAAGCAGGCCCAAAACTACAGGACGTGTATGCATAATTCAAAAGGATGTGTTGTTTGGACACGCTCTATGTAAAAAATAATGCAATAATGCTTACCGTGTTTGTAGCCGTAGCGCTAGACCCACTGACCACGGGAACGTTAGAAACTTGTACGGAGAAATACTCGTTTTCTATGAGAGGCCATGCGCCTTTAACAACACACGTTTGCCTTTCTTCGGTGAATGTTTTTAAATGAGGGTCCCCAAATAAAGCACACAGTCGATACTGGTATGGATCTTGTTTAATTTCTCCGCTCAACGGTGTGATTTGTTCGTGTGAAAAGTTCAGGCAAGCAGGTTGACTGGTCACTGGCCCTATCGTTGCTGTCGTGTTGAGAACTGTTTTGTTTATCGGAAGTGAAACATTCCCACATTTTCGATCCTCCATTAGTCTCGGTATGAGCGTAGAAATTGTGTGGAAGTATAGGTTGGAGCTGCAACTTTTCACTTTCTTTTTCACGTCTTTAAAGCAGCGTAAATAAATCGCCAGAGCGGTACAGAACGCTGGGTTGTCATTCGGATTGCGCCGTTCGATTGCTTCTTCTGTCCTCTGGTACGGCGTGGTACATCGCTCGTTAAGTGTTTCCACGCAATTTTGCTCCGCCGTGACCAACAGAACTGAGAGCACAAACAAGATAACAAGTAACATGAGTGTATTTATATTTACAAGCATCGCAACAGCATCAACATTGCCCTTTCCTCATACAAGCGGGCGATTAACATTTCTAGAACTACACTCACGTTGCGGAAATAAACAAGCCGATAGCAGCGCGTGATAGAAGACAGTCAGCCCTATTTTCAATCGCAAACTCATGTCCTTGATAGGCCACCGTCTGAGCTGTCGCACATATTCACTGCATAAAGATCATGTACTGTGTTACTAAAATCCGCCGAGTTCGATCGCTAGCTCGTGAGCGACTGGTCCTGGCCAATTTGCTTGATGGGAATGAAATCCAAATGACTCAATTCACTTATCAATCAGGAATTTGACAGCTACGACACAAAGATACTGATTAACAAAGCCGTCGGGATCCCTTCTCCCGCCCCGAGTGACCTTGTCGACGAGTGAAAACTTTCAAACGACAAGCGTCGAATCTTTGCGCGAAATGGTCAAAAGCACGTTCGTTTCAGTAAAGGCACGCTACAATCACAAGCCTGAGAAAATAAATCTGCTCTTATAGGGGGTAGGCGCTTTCTCTGTAGCTCCCCTAGTGCGGTTTCCCGTCACACTACAACCACCGAAACAGCTGTCATTTTAATTAACTATCTTCTCTTTTCTTTCATTTCATTGGTTCTCAGTGAGAAGCATTATCGCCTACGGCTATTCAAAGTAGACCTTTCAAACGGGCCAATCATGCGCCAGTATCCAGCACGGTACTCGTACATAATTGAGCAGGCTGTCATTTATAATTTTCCCTTTTGTTTCCTCGTTTGTTGATTGGTGTAGCGACCTTATAAATTACAAAAAGGGACGGAGTGTTGACATTACCACCGGGGGACTCCCACTGTTCCTTCCAACCTCAACCAACAAAAGCTCTCTGGACCTTGCTGTCGCAAGAATAGTGGTGCAAATAAAAATCTTCGTGGAAAAGCCGAACTTAAATCCCGTTTGAAAGTAACAGCATGTAAAGGCTTCTAAGCCGGCTAAATCCTTTTTTCCGCACCAATGCACGCGCTCGCCCGCGTGCGCGATTAATTACAGGTCTTTGTTGATTTACCGTAATTATACTTTTGTAGTCCAACACATCGAAAAATTAGAAATGTCACATTTGGGAGGGCACAAGACAAAGACAACATAAAGAACTGTAGAAGAGGGAAAGAACTAAACAAAACGGTCTAATGCCATCTCACACTGCTTGACTTATTTCCCGCATCCTGAACGCGGTTTTTGCCGACAGGGCGTTCTGTACATTCAAAATTGGTTATCTCGAGCGAATACATTCACTGAAATGTTCGAGATTCGCTGGAGCGCGCTGTGAGACCGCCAAGCTCTTATCCCATTCAAACTACGTACCGCCCACAAATAATCAATATTGTTGTTTCTTCATGTCGCGTACGCACAAAAATCCTTTTCCGGTCAGAGGTTCTGCGAGCACTCCTGTCGCATATTTCTCCTGGCAATCCGCGCAGCGTGTGAAATTTAATCACAATGCTATGGAATCTGTGGGATAGCAACAAGAAATTTCAGCGAGAAAACAATCATTTTCAGTGTTCCAGTTTTACTGGTGTGAATATCGTACTGAGCCCTTAAGCAAGCCCATTTCCTGCTTTTCTATGATTTCAAAATCCACTGCGAGGCCCTGCAGTTTCTCAAATTGTCTATTAAATTTTAACTAGACCAACTTATAACTTCAACTATTTTCGCCTGAAACATCCCCTGCACACGTCTTTATCTACAAAAAAAAACGCTGTTCATGCTTCTACACTTTCCGTTATTTAAAAGAATATTTAGGAGCAAGTATCGGCAAACAAAGTAAGAACAATACTGTACAATTTGGTCTGTTGCTCTGAGAAGATTTCGTCTGTTATTTAGATTACTTAAACAAAATCCTGCGACAGTTTCAAGGAGTTTTAAGTCCTTCAATGGCAGCTAGTTTCCCGCTGAAACAACAGAAAAGAATTATCCGATGCAATTTAAACCCTAGCATGGAACTCAGTTTGTAATAACATACCGTAAGCAGGTATGTTTGTTTGGAATTTAAGAATGAAAATTAAAATCGGTGGGAGTCGCAAGTTATGCAGATAAGGTAGCGCGGTCTCTGTGGGTTATTTTTGTCCAAAAAAAAGAACACATTTCAATGTTTCCAACTGGGCTTGAGCTGATTACGGACAAATTAGTTTTCTGAAGCAATACAGAATTCACTGCACGCTTTAATATATGTTGATAAACGGTGGCTAGAATCAATTCTCTTTCCAAGGACCAGGGATTAAGGTAAACAGCGAGTTGGAAAGTAAGGAATGTTTGTAGAATTCAAGCACTGCTGTGAAGCGACGTGAGAAGCATTCCAATGAGGTTCCAGTTCCTTGTATGAAAACATGGCACGACCTGTTTGTGAAACTAAAATCAGTGGATCTTATAGAGGTTCGATACTGTTACGACTGAGGTGAAAGTTTTTTTCTCGAACTAGCGCCCACACGAGCCTACGAATGCTGGATCTACTCCCTATATATTTAGCAATGATAAAACTTTGCAAAAGGAAAGGTTAAATATGTATGCTGAGTTCATCGTTAATATGATGCAGTTCTGATGTCCTTGTGAAAGTCCAACTTCAGTGTAGTTTCAAAGAAAATTCTCGACCATCCTCTCCATAAACCAGTCGCGGCATGGTCTCTCCACACCATGTACACTTGTTGTCGTTCATAGCGGAAAATTAAGTGCTATTTTTTTGTAGAGGACACGTCCATTTTCCCATTCCTTCGCAACGTTTAAATTTAAAGTAAATTTGCCTTTGGCGCCTGCAGGGGTTCTCACAGAACCATTAATTGGTTTACTGTCAGTGAGTGTGTAACTTGTTCTATCGAGCTGAGATAGCCTTCGGGCTTTGAATCAGAGATGGACCGTAGAGGCTCAGTGATTACAAGTGTAAACGCAGAGAGTATAGTGGCACTGATATACATTGACACAAGGGAGCAAGTTTGCTTAATTCCATTCTTTTTATTACCGGGTTTTTTAAACAATAAATAAGGCAATACCACTCGTTATGTTTACGTTGAGTTGTACCTCGGTCACTAGTGTCGATATATATTAGCTGAATTCAATCTGTTAGGTAATTCTTCGATTGATTGGACTGTTTTTGCATTCATACTGGTTTCAGCACATTTGTTTAATTTGGTTCATAGTATACAGCGTTTTACAAACGTAGAATTAAACAAGTAAATTCTTAAAAAGATTATTGGCGCGCCGGTATCCACACAACGGGGGCCATGCGAATTATGACCCCTGAATTTAGCCAAAAGGCACCTGACTAAAAATTTATCAAGCTTGCGGCAAAAATAGACTGTCTAATACAAAACAGTGGGGTGTGTTTAGCGAGTTTTCATTCAGATGGATGTTTTTATGCCGTTTTAAAGATCCATGGTCGCATTAGGCTGCATGTGTGACCATAATATACGCACTATTTTCTAGTTGCCGTAAGATGCCGTTCTAGTTACCAGCACCAGTCAGGAATTCTGCTGAGTGTTTTTTTTCTTTTAGCCTCCGGCGAAGGAGTTTGGTTTTCAAACCCAAATCAGGTCACAAAGAATATTATTTATGTTTTGTCTTGTTCTTGTGGTCGCTGAAAGGATCAGTTCTGCTACGTTTCAATCTTTTGGAAAAAAGTAACTGCTTATTGACAAGTTGTAGAGACATCTTCATGGGCCTCCCAGCCCTCTCTCGGCAATCGGCTCACGATTAAAAAAGAAAACATTTTTAACTTTTTATTTCAAAGCTTTTGAAAATATCTTCAAGCAATATTCGCAGCTAGTGCCTTAGGGTTTCAAGGTCACAGTTATTTCAAGTAAAATCGCCATTTCGTGTGGCATTACTGATTGTAGTACTGATTTCGCGTGTTTTTTTTCGAAAGTAGGACAGAATTAAAGCTACATCTGTATAAAACTGACGCCTTACTGATTCTGATAAATAAGAAATCAACGTGGATTTTTGATAGTTTAGATAGTACAAAAAGGAACAGAGTACAAAAGTACAAAGTTTTAAGCTGTCAAGTCACCTTCACTCCACCTAAGATTAGTGGATACTGACGTATTCGAAGTAGACTGTGAGCGGTCGTCGCGATCAACTCTTTTTGTTCAGAGGTCCAGCGGCTGGGTAAGCCTGTGAGTTGATTTGTTTTAACTTTTTACCTAAAAAAATTCAATTAGCACACATTTTCAGGAGATCAAACAACAACCTCGTCCCCAGGGCTTTTCCCTTAAATGGGTGGGCCATTTTTTAAGGGAAAAGCCCTGGGGACGAGGTTGATCAAACAAGCGACAACGTCTCCACGAGATATTTTCAGCGCTCATGGGTTTCGTGAGGCAAACATTTGCCTTAAGTGAATTGGACGTTTTGTGTATGACTGTATTGATTTCATTTCCTTCTTCCCCTTAAAAAATATCAGATCTGATTGCATCAATAACGGCCTTTTTCTGCAACTACTAAAATAAGGACTGATTGGATCTTCGGCTATGGGTTTGTGTATTCGTAGGGTATACGAAAAATGCCTTGGTACGAAATGAAAATCTTGAGTCTTTGAACAACCATGGTGACTTCTAGGAGTTGATGAGTTCCTCAATCTCACTAGTTGAGCCGGAAAGACATCAGTGTCAACTTTTATCTCCAGGTGATATATGCAGTGAACTTGAATATTTCCTTTTCAAGGTCGACTTACGTTAAGTAGAGCTAAGTAGAATCGCCATTTGAGTGTTTGCAATCTACTGTGAGTATTGATTTCATCTCGTGTTCATAAAAATATAACTATATCATGCACTGACGGGTTTGTTTATGTATACCTAGAAAAATTGGGATCAGCGCTAGCGTGGATCTTTTGGGCAGGCTTTAGTTTTTATTTCTCAAATTAAAATTATCGTGCCAGACCTTTGAGCCATCGCTTAACCGTTAAACAGAAAGCTGAGCGCAAACCAATTCAGTTGACTGACGGTCAATTCAAGCAGTTGAAATTTCAGGAAGAGATA